TATACAACTTCCTGGGAAGCATATTTGATCCAGAGACAAATGGTCATTTGCAACAGTTGAAGGAAATGGATCCTATTGATGCTGAAACGGTATTTCCTTCACTCAGTTTCCATTTAAAATCGACCCAGATGTCCTTTTGTTACTCTTGTCTGCAGGCATGAAGCTCATACTTTAATAGCTTTTTTCTGTATAGATCCATCTTTTTACATGGACAGCATAGTTAATCTTGTTTTACGTATTGAATGAAGACCTGGCTACGGTTCTAGTGCAAAAATATCTATAAGCTCCTCTTAAAACCATCATTCTGGCAGTTTCTTTTTCTTTTTCTTTTTTGAAAAATGAGCTGTGCAGTACATATGTTATATCTATTACATATGCAGTCTAGTGCAATGTTAATACATTTCAGCTTAATTATTGTAATTTATGCGTACTAGTATACAATTTATGACTGAAATAAAAATCATTGGCAAATGGATATCAGTTCTACCACAAAGAAAGGATATCTGTCTGATCTTTTGGACATCACTGGCACTTTTCATGCTTCCGTCTCTTGTATATACCTGCTGAGACCAAAGTTTTTACCTCTTTCTCATTACCCTTCATAGTAAAGTAAGGCATGCAGTTTATAGGCTTGCTATTTTTATTAACTAACTTATTGGGTTTGTGTAGACTTGTCCCAAACATGTTATCTTGGACAGGTTCTCTCATTGTGCATTACACTTTTACTTAGTAAATCAGTTTCTTCTATTGACACATACATTCAGCATTTGTTGATCTTGTCCGTTCACCTAAGGATATAACTTGCTGTGTTTGATGGTCTTGATCTCCAGGTACTGTTGCTAATGAAAAACCTGTCAATCAACCTAACTAGCCCAAACTTTGAGGAACATGTAAGTACCTGTTCTTTTTCACCTCATTTTTCCTTTTAAACTGACTTTCAGAATGCTTATTGTTGTATACCCAACAAGTTTTGAATGTATAGTATCTGGTACTAGTGTATAATTCATTTCTAATCCCAGTATCTGATTAGTACTCCCTGCCCATAATTCTAATCGATCCAGTTAACCTGGTGGAATGCCTCGTAGCTGGAAAGCATAATAACTTAACCCATTACTGATGAATTGCATATATTAACAGTCCTGTAGACTATTTCCCTGAAATGCATTGTGTTCCTTGGATTCTGACCTACTGGCCGCCCCTTTCTGCTGCAGAGGAGGTTGCTATCTTCACATGCCTCAAGCATGGATCAAGAAATGGGCTCTTCTCACATCCATCTTCCATTCATGTAATTCTAACTGTTCCCGTTCTCAATTCCAACTCCGCTCCACATGATCTGCTTAATTGTTTCACTAAAACTATGTATCGCCACCACGATCTAGGATAACGAGCAAGTGAGAGAAGCTGGCTGCCCTCAAGCCGAAGGCGTTGGAGTCACTCTGGAGCATGGCGATGTCCTTATTGGAGTGCTTGCTAGCCATTTGTAGTGCGGCATGTGTACATAGCTCTTAGTAATGCCCTAACCACCTTAGGCTAGGTTTGCTCGACATGTTGTAGGTTATGCGCCTTTTGATTCTTTGCCCCTCCAGTTTTGGCCCATTGTAACTTATATGCGTGCTTTTTGCCTCTTCCTTTTATTTCCCTTCACAAGGATGAATGGGTGGCATGTGGTTTTTGCCGTGTGTGTATATAGCATGCGGCTGTATGTGTACAGCAGGCGGCTATAGCAAACTGTTGTTGTAAGGCATAAGCTGATAGTGCGTGGTTCTATTCTACAGCTGGTCGTGCCAGATGATACTCCTCCGAATTACAATTACTGTCGTTTTGTATTGTATGATGAGGGCACATGTAACATAAATAAAATTTAGTTGCCTTTGCCGATCGACTCCCTGGTTGGTGGTTGCAGTAACTCTTATGGATCTGGCGTTGTCCTTGTGGTCCTTGTGTATTTGAACTCGATCTGACACGGACGCGCCAATGTGAGATTTACTTTGGGCTGTACGTACTAATGACACTTGGTGTCTAATTAATCTATCATTAGTATATGTTTACTGTAACATCATAACTAATTAGGTTTAATATATTCGTATCGTAAATTAGTCTTCATCTGTGTAATTAGTTTTGTAATTAGTCTATGTTTAATACTCTAAATTAGTGTCGACATGGACCAAAGTTTAGGAGGGTATTCAAACACCCCCTAATTGCCATCGTACTGTACTTCTTTATTGCTGTTATTATTAATACTATTATATGGAGTAGTATGATATAGTACATCTGGTATACGTACTTGTGACTAATTGGCTGCATCATCAATCAATAATACTGAATGCTCTGTCGCGTGCATGCGTGATGCGATTGCTTTTGCGTGGAACTTGGAAGCAAGTACGTATACGTGAGGGAGAAAGAATATGGCGGTTGCTTGGCTTGCAATTGAAGTAACTGTATGTAAGTAGTGCTGGCAAGATCATCGATCATCGTCTTCATATAGCCCTCGTTTAACCTCAATCCACATGTATTGGATCGATTGGGGTGGATTTTAGTTTATGTTCCACTCCAATTCACTCAATACATGTGGATTTATGCGAATCTGATTATATCATAGTGTATGCAATGCAATCATCAATACTCTCTTCTGAAATGTGGATTTTCCTAGAAGAAGAGGTAACTGCCGCCCCGTGTGGCACCGCACAGCTCTCGGTCGATATCTCGCATGTGTACGTGCGTGTCTGAGACTGAGTGACACAATGTCCGCATGCAAGCGTGTTGGATGAACATTGAACAACCCGCTAGCTAGCTTGGCCAGGCAGAGGCAGCCAGAAGCGTGACGCTAAGCCTAACCATCCATGGAGTGCAAGCGACAGGTGAGATCGATTGCATTGCACTTGCACATATGGGAAGTGTCAATAATGCAAGTTTGCAGCACAGCAATGTACAGTGCGGATTGGATTGGAACAGTAAGTAGGCACCACCGGCCCAGCACACTGTAGTGTAGTGGATATGTATGTTTAACAAGCTCCATGTAGTGGATTGGAACAGCGAGCAGGCATGTTCGTTTCTCTTATAATCTGTACTTTTCAGCTTATTTTTCAGTCGGAACAGTATTTTTCTCTCACAACAAATTAGCCAACGGTACTTTCAGCTATGGCTTATCAGCCAAGCGAACGGGGTAGCTTCTACACCGTTGCATGTATACTTAGCTAGAGCTCTACAGTTCCAAGCAGCTACGACGATGTATGTCAATCCGATCCAACAGTAACCGTGACACAGGCATCTTAGCACTGTTAACTGAGTTCCTTTTGTTTGATCTGAATGTATATAAGCCGTTTTAGTTTTTTTTAATACATATATATAGGTTTTTTGTTATTATTTTTTCGAGAATGTACACTGCACCTATTTCATTAAGGAGAAAGTTTAGAGTACACACGTAGGTACCTCTCCATCCAAAAAAATCATTGTTTTAAAAGTGAACCTAGCTAGACAAGCACTCGTGTAGATCTAGCGGTTTGGAAATTTCTATCATATATATGGACTTGTTGTAGGTACCTCTCCGTCCTCCTTCCAGAACCACGTGCCTCCCATCGTCAAGAAAAGATGCACCACCCCCAGTCCCTTACTCTCAACGTCTTGTCGTTTGATTCCAATTTGTCTCACCATTCATTAGTCAACAGATTGATGATAGAGTAAAGGGAGTGGCCAGCGCAGCATGCATGGAGGATTTAGAGGGTGTTGTGCGTGTGCATACACGCAATGCATCGATCTCTTGGTACTATGTCTATGTTTGGATCAAAGAGCTAAAAATTAACCCATATTACGAAAATAGATTAAACATGAGCTAGAATATAGACTAATGGACTCTAACCACCAATTAACTATTATTAACTCAGAATTAACCCATATTTAGTCTATCTAATTGGTATCCAAGAATATGGGCTAATTGTTAGCCCATGTATCTAAACATGCTCTTCCAAATATGCCCTTATATATGCTTAGCTTGTAACATGGGTTTCCTAATGTCCATTATAGATTGTTAACGAAACCAAGGAAAGCTAATAAAGCTAAGGACCTATTTAGTAGGGTTCCTCTCTGAAGATGCCCTGCCAAACGTTTTGTAAAAAAGGTCGTTTTTCATCGGTGAAAAACAGAGGAGCCTGAACCGTCCTCCGGCCTGCCGAACACCCCTAATTAAGACGGCCACGGTATAAATTAAACAAATAATAAATATAGGATGGCCGTACATCCATCCCCTTGGACGGCCTTGGTACACGTACAATATGATACAAGTAGTAGTAGTTAGTAATTAGTAGAGCTACTGTTGTATCGTTGCCGAAAAGGTTAGTTGCCCTCCAACTCGAACTAGCTAGGTTTCTATTTTTTGTTTAAGGGCTTGGTTCCATTTCATACTTGCCGGTGTGGAGGTAGGCAGCGGATCCGATTTGGCCGGCGGCCGGGGGCAGGACGGAGGGAGGCGGCCGGATTTCAGGACGACCGGCGCCGTGGAAGTGACGCGCGGGTAGGAGTGGAAGCAGCAGATTTCCTTTCCATTCCATGCGTGTGAGAGATAGGAGGAAAGAGGAAAGAGGAAAGAGGAAAGGGCACAAACCGTTTAGAGAGTCACATCACAGAGAATGAATGATGGATGATGGACGGTGGCCCTGCTATAACTACACACGTACGTCACCGCTCGCATTCCACGCCCTGCTGCTATAACTACTACCTTAGTACCTAGCAGTGAAGCAGAGTAGTAGCTAGGTCACGTTAAACTGAAAGCCAAGCCAAGAAAGCCCACCGCAAGAAAGTCTTCACATTCTTTCTTCTCTTGAGCAAGGAAAGGAAGAAGCTAAGCGAGCGAGCAGGTACTAGTCGTTGATCCAATATATATCATATCAGCTGCCCGGCATCACATCGATCGCTTCTTCAATTCCTCCTCCGACTCCACATCTGTTCTTCAGCGGAGACTGGGGGGAGATAGCTAGGCGGGAGATATACTAGTCAAGTCATATAAAATGCTGCGGCGACGGCAAGCCAGAACAAAATTGCTGGAGGAGGTGCTCATCGTGGCCGGCCTCCTGCTGGTGCAGTGCGTGCTCTCCGGCTACGTCGTCTTCACCGACCACCTGCTCGCCCTGGGCGCCGACCCGCTGGCCGTCATCGTCGTCGGCGGAGCCGCCTACGCCGCCTTCTGCCTCCCCTTCGCCGTCGCCCTCGAGAGGTCTTTACTCCATATATATATGCTCTTCTTGCTGCTGCTCTGTTGGGTCGTCCTTCTTCCATTGACGTCTCGCCACGCAGACGCAGCATGAATTATGAATATACGATGATGATATTGTTGCTTATAATATAATTAACTACTACTCCACTCCGTATTGCAGGAAGCGATGGCCTTGCAAGGTTTCGGGGACTTTGGTGGCGCAATACCTGCTCATTGCTCTCGGAGGGTAAGTAAGATCCATGAACCGTCCATACCGATCGATATGATGCCAGAGCCTGTTCATTGCTCTTGACCTTTTCTTCATTTTATTTATTATTACTGTTACCGCTCCGATCGATCATTTTTAAATATATTATTATCTCGTGGATTCAGAAGCTAGTAGTAAGTTCATGAAAATCAGGCAGGGCAGTTCATAGCCTTCAGTGTAACAGGCTTAATTAGGTAGCTCATGCATGCCGGTCGCACGTACCTGCTACGCCATCTGCACCTACTCTGCTCTCTACTCTTACCTGTAGTACGAAGTAGTAGTAGTAGTTGAGTGCCGATGGCAACTTTTACCTGAAATGAAAGCCTCAAAATGGCAACCGGACAAGATAAATTCTGCGCAACATGTGCACCCATACGCAATTCAGTCACTCATGGTTCGTCCATCCATACCGATGCCATTCACGGACTTGAGCTTTTGTTACTCTTGATTTCCATTATTACTCCTGCGAATTGATCATACGCCTGAGTATATATAAATCTCATGGATTAAGTAAGTTTATGAAATCAGGCATTCAGCTGAACAGGCTTTAGCTAGCTACCTCATGCATGGCGCATTTACAAAGGAATACTACTCGTCAGTCCGATCTGTCTGTCGCCATCTCCTTGTACTCCTACTCTGCCCTCTTTTAGCTGCAGTACGAACTAGTGGTCGAGTGACGAATGACGATGCCAACTTTTACCTGAAATGAAAGCCTTAAAATGGCAACCGGACAAGATAAATTCTGGCGCAACATGTGCACGCATACGCAATTCCAGTCAGTCAGCATTCATCACGAATATACATACTACTAGCAAGCAAGCACTATTATTGTGATCAGAAAGGGATCGATCTAGAACGTCGTTTCTTGTTGATTTGTTAATTAATTGCATTGCTACAACAAGTCCATCTCATCATATATAGTGTGGGTAGGTGTTTTTGTTGTTTTGTTTGATTGTTTACCTATATTGGGAGGAAATTAAAGGATCTTCAGTTCAGAGCCAAAAATTCATGAAATATACACTTATCGACTGACTGACTGACCAACAGATTGATTGGTTGATTGATTGTGTGTATTCATTCAATTCACCATCAGGACAACCGCGTTCCAAGAGCTGATGCTGCTGGGGATCAAGAAGACGACGCCGGCGATTGCTTCCGCCATGCCCAACCTCAGCCCCGGCCTCATCTTCATCGTCGCAGCTTGTTTCAGGTAAGCAGTTGTACATCTTCATTACATCATTCAGAGCAGCTGGATTGTCTCATCAGTCAGCTAGCCTCATTACATTATTATTCAGACAAACTAAATTGTCTCAGTAAGCTAGCATTTGGAATCATTTTTGAAAAAAAGAATCAACTGGATTGTTCCTGCTACTCCTTTTGACAATACCAAACCAAACAAAAAACAAGGCTGGAGAGGTTCGACAGGGCGTGCAAGTACACGCAGGCGAAGATAGCGGGGACGGTGGTGTGCCTGGCGGGAGCGGTGGCCATGAGCTTCCTGCAGAGCCCCTCCTCCTCCTCCTCCTCCTCCTCCTCCTCCTCGTCTTCTCTGGCAGCAGCAGCAGCAGCAGCAACAGCAGCAGGCAGTGACGACGACTACTACGACTGGATCCTGGGCTGCTCCTGCCTGATCGCGGGTGTCACCGTCTTCGCGCTCGTCACCGTCCTGCAGGCCGCGACGCTGGCCAGTCTCCCGGCGCCGCTGACCATGTGTTGCGCCACCTCCGCGATGGGCGCCGCGCTCACCGCCGTCCTGCGGCTCGTCCTGGAGGGGAAGTTCCTCGATATGGGGTCGCCTAACATCGACGCCACGCTCGTCGCCGGGATCGTCGTCCTCGGCGGCGGGGTGGTGGGTGCGTGCACGGCGTTCCAGGTGTGGTGCCTCGGCAGGAAGGGCCCCCTGTTCGTCTCCGTCTTCGGGCCCGTCCAGACCGTCTGCACCGCCATCCTCTCTGCTGCTCTCCTCCAACAAGTCCTCGGCCTCGGAAGGTACTTCTACTGCTGCCACGTTATGACTCATCAACTTTTCTGTTAATAGGCACATGCAATTTTATTTTTCGTACTACTTATTTGGTGTATAGTAAACACTATTAGTATTTTTATAAATGTAAAATTAGCAGGTTTAGTATTCCTTTATAACCATGAGTAAAAAGTAAGTTAGATTTTGGAATGGTTTAGCTTATGTTTGTCATAGAATTGAACTTTGGTTATTTGGGACGGACAAAGTTTAATCCTAAGATTTCAAGAAATTAAATAAAGAAAAAGCGAAACATGAACTAACAAGGGAAATGGAAAAAAAATGGTGTGCACAGCCTCGCAGGGATCGTGCTGATGTTCAGCGGGCTCTACATTGTCCTATGGGCCAAGAGCAACGAGATTTCGGCTGACGAGGATCAGTTGCAAGGTGGCGGCGCTCACGACGCCGAGAAGGCCCTGCTAGCCTAGCAAAATCCTATTTTTTTTCTCCAGATGTACTGGTAGTAGTGAATATCACGCTCTATATTATTTGTAAAAGGGCATGGTTTTAAATTTTTTACCCAAAGGTATGACATACTAAATGTGTCTACGTACCAATTTCTATGTGTATATATACATATATACTCGAAAGAAAAATTTAAAAAAGCCATGGCTAAATTTGTTCATAATTTATACCGGAAACTACTTTGATATAACATTATATTGTTCTAATTGTCTAATGTGTGTGAAAATGACATTGGTTGATATAAAGAGTAAAAAGAATGTGAGGTAGTGGTGGACCCAGAAAATTTCAATTGTTTAGTTTCTTAGTCAGTTACAACAGCGTGCGTTCCACCGTCTAGCGGTGTCTTGTGTTCGTGTTCAACCCCATCACTCATGACATCTCGCCGTGTTGTGATGACGGACATGTAAACCTTCTAACTTCCTCTTAATAAAACATGTGCTATGCACGTTCTCGAAAAAGAAAGTTTCAATAGCCTGGGCGAGGTATGGAGCCGAGTTCTGAGCATTCATGCAACGCTATGCCACTCCATTCCGCTGCATTCATCATGTTCAGCAGCCAGACAAGGACTAGGCCTTAGTGGTAGTGGGCTTCGCAGGGGATGGACTCGGGCAAGGGCTTAGGCCTTGTTTGGCCACTAAATTTTACGTCACTTATGTACTTGAGGCTCCAAACATGAGGTTTAAACTGTTATCTAAAGTTTAGATCATCTCACAAAACTTTAGGTCACATGAGTGAGCTAAAGTGACCTAAAGTTTTAGTCTTTAACTTTATCTAACTAAACTTTAGACCTAATAATCCAATCAAGTTCTTAGAGCCGTCAGGTCCTCGGTCTGGCCATAATGTGATGACTATATAATGTGATGGCTATATGTTCCAATACGGAAACCATATCCATATCATATACGGTAAAGGCGTGATTAGAATGTGATTGGTTGCTTATATTTCTTTGGCTAGGCTTTTCATATCCAGAATCCTTTTATGCTTTCTCTGCTTAGGGGGGTTGCACATGTCAATGTAAAAGCAAGTCTGCACACGTCAATGCAAAAGCAATATCGGCAGTATCTTAGGGCTTCACCAATGCAGATATATTGTTTGTTACCCTCAGGCAAAAACCGCAAAAGTAGAAGTCCGTGTAGAAGAAAAACATGAGGCTGGTACTTTTCCCAATGTTAGTTACTGGTATATGTCCTCTTTGCTCTGCCCCTGCTTTCCTGGCGCGCCGGATTGGATCGTTGGGTGCCCGTGCTCCTAGAAAACTCAAATCGAGGTCACTCCCTTTGAGGGCAGATGTAATCCTATTGGTTTAGGCTGGTTTGACTTATAAGCCATAACTAAAAGTACTGTTGGCTGATTTGATGTGAGAGAAAAATATTGTTCGTTGGTTGATAAGCTATGGCTTATAAGTCAGATACGAGCAAGCGAATAAGCTGGTAGATGTTGAGACCACTGGTCACATTGTCGCGGTGGGGCTAGCTTTAGGCTAGCTGGTACAAAATGGGAATGAAAAAACATTTCTCGCAACTTGGGCTCTAAAGGCGTAGCACACGAGATAATCATACTTTAGCTAAAGTATTCTATCGCGTTTTCCACGAATAGCAACCAAACAATGGCTTTGTTCGCTTCTCTTATAATCCATACTTTTCAGCTTGTTTTTTCAACCGAAACAGTGTTTTCTCTCCCAACATATCAACCGGAACAGTGTTTCGGTTTGTTTTTTCAGCGAAACGAACGAGGCCAATATCTCATATGCACCTCATTTAAAGCACCGTACTCAACTAAGCAAAAGCGAGTTACAGCTTTTTGTTTAAGAAAAAAATATTGACCATATACAACCACGAGTTACAACTTGTTGTTTAGGATAAGATTGACCATTGTTCACTTTATACAACCACGAGTTACAGATTGTTGTTTAGGATAAGATTGACCATTATTCACTTTATTATACAACCACGATATGCTAGTGCGACAAATATTTAATGACGCCGTAAGACATAATAGTTTGGAGGCGTACATGTTTCATCGTCTAAAAATATAAACTACGCTGTCAAAATTTTTTGCTCATGCTTACATGCTTATGTCATCTATGTATACTTACTAGTGTAGGGGCGCGCGCCATCGCGCGCACAGGTTCAAATTTGAGGAATTAGAACTGTAACTTGGACATTGCAAAGCATTGGATAATGCGAAATAATATAGGAGTTGACTGAAGCATAATTATACATGGAGTTATTCCTGCAGCACTTCCACGTGTTTTTAAGTCTACAAACAAACAAGGACTTGGTTTGCTAGATGGCGGAGTAGAGCACCAATACAAAGGCATCACAGGTTGTTCAGCACTTATATTATACAAAGTCAATAGCAGGCTAACTGGAGCCTTTTAGTGGGGCTTGTGGCTCCTATATAAAAACATTGTGGAGTGGTTGGCAGATCACTTGAACGTAGATATAGGAATCATCAGTAGTATTTCCAGCTGCGATCAGACTCCCAGCCATGTTCTTCAGTGTCCGAGTTGTTCAGCGAGGAATCGGTAGAAATATCTGCATAGATGTAAACATGTTTTATGGTTCTAGGCTTAATGATGCTGCGTCTGTGGGGATATAAGGAAGCAGGAATTTATGTATGTTGCAAGAACTGTGTATGTACGAACTATTGGAGTATGCAGGTTGCAGAAGTTTTTTTTTAATTTTTTTTATATTGTTCAGTGGAGGAGGAAGGATATATAAAAGATGGGGTAGTGTGAATGTTAATCATCCTCTGGGTTTTTCTTTTTATTTTAAACAGTATGATGAGCATTGAGATGGATTGTATAGATGTCATACCTCGTCGATGGGAGGTTGCCTCGTCGTCCTGACATGTGGAGTGAAATAATTATGTTATTATGCACTATATAGATTATTGTATTTGTGTTGGGTTAATATTGATTGGCATTACCTGCGTAAGCGGAATATTCCTTGTACATCTCTTCTTCGTCCGCGGTAGCAATATCTGAGGATCCTGTTAATTTTGGGAGGAAGACTGTTAGAAATGGAGTTGACCGTGTTTTTTAGTGGTGCTGTAGTTGCATGAGTGTTTACCTTGGCGCTGAGACATTCGATATTCAGGCGGGGTCATTCTGCCAAGCATTTCTCCTGTAGAGGTTTCATACCATAGTGGCGAAATGTTGAGGAGATCACCGTTTTCAGTTACTTTCCTGACACCTAAATGTGCAATGCTAGGCACAAGCGGTTCTTGTCCCTAGGCGGAGATCATGTATGTGAGTGTTGCAGGTGTGAATGTTATGTCACAGATGGTGCAAATTCCGCTGAACAGACGGTGTATTGTTAGTTCACAGCATAGGTGTGGTGGTATCCCAGAGATTTCAATGCTGAGGCGTTCGTTGGGTGACAACACGCGTGGGCAGGTTGCTGTGTGGTGGTTGATGGGATCAGAGTTTAGTTGGCTGTGTAGAGGGACTGATGTGTAGCCATAATCTGGGGTCCATGGCATGAGTGTAAGTGTGTAGGTTGAAACAACAACAAAGCCTTTGCTAAGCATGCGGAAACTTGCATCCGTAGAGTGTACCCTTATAAAGTAGTGGGACCATACTTCGATATGTCTTCTACCTGGATTTCCACCTGGAATTGCTGGTGGACTGCATCTCTTAAGCTCTGGTGGCTGACTGCATCTGTAGGTGATAATGGGAGCTTTGCAATTACTGCATTGTCAAAGACATTGGGATCCCTGCTGTGGAGCTCTGATTCGTTGATTATTGTCAGGTTTGTATAACGGTAGCCTGACATTTTGCTGGGCTTGCAGACCTGTAAATGTCCTGTATTAAGTAAATTTATAGATAAATATAACTATGTTTACATATAGTTAGTAGTTAGTGTTGATAGTGATTTTATTTAAGGCAAGGACTGCAGTTTGTTAATTGATAAGAGGAAAAGAGGTGTAATTGAATGTCTGTAGCTTTTTTTTTGTTTTACTTTTTAGATTGGGAAATAAATATGCAAGTGGTTGGTGCGTCAAGGAGACATCACGTGTAGCTGGGATGTGTGCGGTATATAAGGCTAATATCATGACAGTGAGTTGTTCGCTCTTAGTAATTAAGGAAGCAAAATTTGAAGGTTCAGGCCATTATATATGTATGGTAATCCACTATTCTTTAGCTACTAAGTTTTAGTGACTGTGAGTTGCAGTTCATAAATGTGTTTGCAAGAATAGTTTATTATTTACTTTTTCAGACTAATTAGGTTAATATTGGGTTTGAACACAATTTACCTATCTGTGTGATATTATATGTTATTTCAATTGGGATAAGTGATCACTGACAGTGAAATGACTCGAGTCAGGTTGAAGCTTTGAAGAATGAAGGTGTTTATATTTGTAAAGGATGTAAAGCCATGTATTAGCCTACATTCACCTAAACAATGAAAGTCGACAGAGAGATTGGAAAATACCTTTGTTTCCTGAATAAGCTAGCAGAAAGTAGGTGTGCGCCATCGCGCGCATAGGCAGGTTCCAAAAAGACCTCGAATCTGGAGAATATATAGATTATAAAAAACAAGAAGGTAGATATATAAATCTAAGATGTGCATATTACATATGTTGTTCAAGGTTTCAAAGAGCCGAGGATGGTGCATAGGTTTATATTACATGCACTGTCACTGGAGTAGAGAAACCGAAAAAAAAAAACAGAATAATGGATGCAAAGATATCCCCAAATCAAGTCTCTGTTCACAGAATGAACTACTCGAGAAACAACTGGGAATAAAGCTTTGTATTGAGCTGTTGAACTAAGACGAAATGAGCATTAAATGATCCTCCAAAGGCAAGAAAATCGAATGTGAGTGTACTCACCAGAGGCATCAGTGTTTGATATTTGTTGGTCCATGTAAACATGCTCGAGAAGTTCATGCGCTTTTGTGTAGTCGTTTTGTTTCAACCGGAGGAGTTCCTTGTGGTACTTCTGAGAGAGTGCAAATTCCTGTCAATATCAAAAAGGAATCTTAGCGACACAATGATACTGAGACACAGAAAGTCATTACATATCCTTCAGATATCCCGCTGAACCATGAGACAGTCAAGGCTTGCACCGAAACAGTTTTTGTAACCATGTATCTCCTTCCGCAAAGAGAAAAGCAGCACATAGAATGAACACCTAAAGTATTCAGGCTCTACATTCATTGCGGGCGTGTTCGAAATCAAAGTAATACATGAAAAAGCAATGGCATGAGGATACTGCATTTGTGTGCAGCGTCCTTTTTCAGATTCTCGCAGCACAGTTATCTTACTGTAATAAATATAACCTTCACCATGTACTAAAATGGCTTGGGATTGGGAAAATAAATATACCAGCAAGATTAGAAAGAATAAGTAACTCATGCACCACCGGCAACGAGATGCAGCCCCAGCGCACCGCTGCGGTCAAGATGTAATACTTAAGGTAAGCTATGTAACTTTTTCGTGCACATTGCTGTGCCCAGCATGCATGGATATTTTGCATTGATGAATTAACAAATATTAGACCTATCTAACCTTGCAGAGTTAAATGTTCTACTATTGTGCATATGGAAAAATGATCAAGTTTCAATCCAAAATGACAATTATTAAAAAAAGGAACTTGCTAAATCTCTTTTAGCCTTTCCTAGCTGTACAACTATTTCATTGAAGGTGAAATATGCACCACACAACTTTATCTGAAATAACACTCATAATCTAATTAAGGAAGGTTAACAACGGTAACTGTATTAGACCAAAGACAATGTGATTACTGCAGGCTGCTTTTGAGGAAGACAAGGTCTTGAGATGACCGAAGGTTACATGCAATGGGGAGAAAAGCAAGCAGAACGGAGTCACCGCTGCTGCTTAATAAAACCAGGGTTATCTTGGTCCGGTAGTGGTTACAAACGAGGAACCTGGAAATCACCGGATCACATCTGAAAGAGAAAGAAGGTTGCATTAATATATTTCAACTTGAAGGATAGATTACTTCAAAGATTTGACAAATAAGACAAAGACGTTCGCTAGACAATAGAAGCATAACAGTAATAAAAAACTAAAGATAATCCCCAATTAAAATTATTTGCCAGCTGGTAGCATGAAAAGTTGAAGGGCGGGCCTGGTGCAAACGGTAGAGTCTTACTGCCTGTGACCGGAAGGTCCCGGGTTCGAGTCGCGGTCTCCTCGCATTACACAGGCGAGGGTAAGGCTTGCCACTGACACCCTTCCCCAGACCCCGCACAGAGCATGAGCTCTCTGCACTGGGTATGTCCTTTTTGGTAGCATGAAAAGTTATCCCTTCCATGAACTCCACAATATTAGCAAGGCAAAACTGACATGGAAACCAAGTTGGTTGGTCGAAGTTGCAGTACAAAATTTGGGACAAAATAAACATCCTCCTTATAATTTCCAACATTTGAGTGGTTTGTTACTTGGCTAAATCGGATTGAACAAACATCAATGATGCTTTTTATCTCTACACCTGCGACAAGAAAGGACAAAGGGGCAGCAAAACCAAACCTCAGAGAAATTCATCGTAGTGGGCTGACCCTCGTTCCAATAGTCATCTTCATCAACAAATTGCCTGTTGGGATACCTGAAGAGCAACAAGATAACAAGGAACATTAGAGACAAAATAAGCTCTGATTGCAGTCACCCATGCGAGGTAGGGAACTTCGCATCATTGGTGTTCCTCCATCTAGGACACGCAGATAACAACGAGGTAGGGCACGATGCTGCTATGGGAGAGGGGCGCATGGCAACGTCGTCAAAATAAGGACCCCATTTATCAGTTTTTTGTTGCCAAAATCGATGGGCAGTTGGCAATCTGAGATATCGCAACTTCATAGCTAAAAATCAAAGCATTAACGAACACAGCTGTGAAAAAGAAGACAGTCTATTGTCCCATACATATATTACGTCCGACCATCCTACAATGAACAAACAGGTATGGAAGAGAAATAAAGGCATGGTATACTCAAATAAGGCTGGAAATGGAATTGTTCAAAAGAAGGGCTACCTGCATTTGTCGTAGTCACCATATTGGCACAATAAAAAAAATAGGGAACCTAAGTTGCAGGATAACTCCGCCTATGTTGTCTCAACATAGTAGGTCCCAAGCACTAGTAAAGGAGGAGGGTTGTGATAGGTGTGGCGAGCCAACGTTAAATCTAGCCATTCTAATGGAGATGAAACCTAAGTTGCAGAATGCACCCCTAAATTCCATTCCGTTAAACCTTTTTTTTTGAGATTTTAGATATAAACCTGAAATTGTTTCTATGTAAAAAAAAAGAAACTCAGAGGCTGTCTAATAAGCTGCGCAAATCACAATTACCAGAGGCGATGAAGTTGGCTTTTATGAGCTGTAGAAGATAACTAGCAAGCGGTTTGAGGCCTTCACTGACAGCCATGGTGGTTTTCTCCTCCGACCCTGTAACACCCCGGTGTTATGCCTGCATTTAGGCACTGCTAATCATACATATCATGCATCATCAAGCATCCTAATCATACATGTATAATCTTGCAAATAACAACTGAAACATTGTTTCGAAACATACGAAACATATTTGTGAAACGTAAATGATGCATACACTTGTTAGAGTTGTTTTGCTCTGATTCTTGCTTGCTAGTTTAGTAGAAACTGTTTGGTTATGCTTGTAAATCATCTAGCAATGTTTAGTACAATTTTTGGAGCAAAGTTTGTATTCAAATTAATTCAAAATTTGGCTTCAAAAATAAATTTCCCAAAATTAGGGTTTTGAGCTAAACGTGGACTTTGATCTTACAATTCAAAATCTAGAAAGAATTTGGCTGTGGTCATAAAAGCAAAGTTGTAGAGAATTAAATTCTAGTCAACTTTCATTTTTGGTACATTTTTAAAAGATGTCATTTTATTGCTCAAAATAATATTTGAAAGATGGCATTTAAAAAATTCCTTGAAATTATAATTGGAAAATGATTTTTCTCCTTCGCGGGCCGCCGCCTCGCTTCAGCCCGTCCGAAGCCGCCCAGTGAGCCTCCCTGCACGCCTTGGCACTCGCCTCGGCCCAGCTGACCTCACGCCGCAAGGCCAGCCCGGCCTGCGCCGCGCCAGCCTGGCGCTTCTCTTCTCCTCCAGCCACGTCCCGACCCGCGTCGAGGCGAGCGCCCTCCCAGCGTCCACCACGCGCTCGGCTCGCTCGACCACGCAGTGCTGTTGGTCGACTTGAAGAAGAGGAGCTACTGCCGCCACCCGACGCGCTCGCCTTCCTTCACCCCTCCGTGCCTTCCCTTTCGCAGCGCAAGCAAGACCGCCTGACGCCACTCAAGCTCACTGAGCTCGCTCGAGCTTGGCCATGGCGCGCCTGCCCAAGACCATCCAAACCGTAGCTCCGCCAGCGCCTCACGGACCTCGTCAGCGCCCTCACGGAGTCAGCCGAGCTGTAGGTGAGCGACATTGCCGAATCGTGCACCACCGCGGCATGGCCGCCATGGTCGCCGCCGGTGATCTCACGCGGTCCCGCCTGACCGCTTCACCGTAGCCGCTAGCTGTAGCATAGGAAGGTCCGCCTTGTCTACCAAGAGCTTACGCGCGCCTTGTATGGCCACCAACCGTCGGGGTTCGCGCTGGAGCACCACTGCGCCATGCGCCATGGCCGCCGCCGCCGTGGTCCATGGTGGCGTCCCCCGAGTCCACTAGAGTCTAGTTTTAGGGGTGCTAAGGATGCGGGAGGCCGAGGTGTGCACGCCGGTGCCGTCGGGTTCACCGGAGAACTCGCCGTCGGTGAATTCCGCAGCTGCCGCGCCGTCGTCCCTCTCCGTCCCCTGTTTTCTCTCACGACCTTGTGGGCCTTTTTGTCACCCCGCCGCGAGAGAACTGAGCTGGGCTGCGCCTGTTCTGGGCCATGTCTTGCCAAGACAGTCGTGGGCCGCCTAAGCCGTTAGGGCTGGCCCAGTAGCGTTTGAATAAATAGTTTCAATTTATTCTTTATTATTTGAAATTTGAAATGGTTTGAAAAATGTTTGGGTACTCAAATTTGCTCCAAATCTGTTGAAATAAGTTTAGCTAGGTTCCTTATCACCAGATCTACTTGGAAAAATTATTGCATGCCAATTTTGAGATAATTTTCTGTAGAACTTTATTTAATCATGTATATTGCGGATAACTTGAAAAATGTGTAGAAAAATATATAGGCTTCAGAAAAATATGATTCTAAGTTTGTTAATCTTCTTATGTCATGTACTTCCTAGGAAAAATATGTTTCATGCATGTGCTGTGGAAAAATTTTGAGGTGTAGTTCAAGTACCTTTAATGGCTAACTTTTGTTATTTTTGCTAAAGAGCAAAATTTGTATAAAACATGCATGTGGTAATTTTTGTACAGTGCTTATTTACTGTTTAGAACCTAGGAAAAATACTCAATCTGTTGTTTGACACTTTTCATAGTACAAAGTAATTTCATGCTCATTTTTATGCTATAGCTTGTCATTTTTGTGTAGGATAGTTTACTTATCCAAATGCCATGAAATTTTTATGGTAGTCTGTTTAGGGTAGTATTATGCTACTGTAATTTTCTCAGGTTTTTAGGAGCATCAGAAATATATGTTGCTATTCAAACCTATTATTAATTAGGGTTTAAGCAAGTGTTGCTTTAAGTGTGATTAAGAAATTAGTAAAGCTTTGGTGTATCTTTGAAGCAATTAATAAGCTGTGTTGATTTAGCATATTAGTAGTAGAAGAGAATGCAGTAGATGACATGTGCTTATTGTACATGTTCTTGGATGATGTTGACTACCTTGCATTCAAACATATCCATTGTATTCATCTCACTCGATGCACCGTTTGCATACGCGCTTACGCACATTGCATCATACAGGATCGCAAACCGAGAACCCAGTCGTCATACCCGAGGAGCCCGAGGAGCAGCTCGAGGTGCAGCCGCAGGAAGTGCCCGAAGCCGACGAGGAGGACGTTGAGGAACTTTCGGAGTGCCCCGATCACCGCCCGAGCTCCTTCGAGAGAGGCAAGCCCCGGAGCATTTTCTCCCCGGTTTGCAATTATTTAATTAAATGCTTTACTTTAATTAATGCATTACGTTCAGGAGTTGTTTGCAACCGTTGCTGCATTATACCTTGTTTACCTTTGTTATACTATATCCTTGTTACCCTGGTATCCGCAGTCGAGTCAATGCTTAGCTGGCTTAGACCGGTAGAAGTCAGGTGATTTCCTGTCACCTGCGAGCTATAGGTGGTTACCTGGATCTGCATGGATGACTATGAAGTCATGGTATAACTAAGTGTTAAATGAGGTTGAGACCGGACGGAGACTTGCAGAGTTTTGGACTGTAGTGTTTCCGTCTGTGTCGATTAAGGACCGACCGTTGTTGGGCCTCGAGTCATGTTGAACGCATGCCTTACATTTAGCTGGCCGGATAAAGTACCTTCCGACCGCGAAGCTGGGAGATTTTTCGGGCAGAGTAGATTGCCCGCAGCGCACTGTGCCGGAGCAGGTGTGGTAGGACACGGGGACGAGATGATAAGACCAAAGTGCAGTCGGTCGGCCCCCGGGTACATGTGGTTCCTGGCAAACTCGAGATACCTGGAAAGTTGACTCGGTGATCAATATCTCACTTTAGCGGGTGAGTGAGGTTTGTGTAAGGAATAAATCACCAGCTGGTTAGGAATCGATTCGAATCGTCATCGCTCCTGGATAGTGAGCACTTGACTTGAGTTACTTAATCGTAGTAATGATTATGGAACACTTGGACAGTTATAATGAATATGACAGTATGAAAGTTGTTTAATGATCATTGGTTATCATTATCTGCTTAATCACATGTTTACTCTAGTATAGGTGCAAATTTAGTCGACAGGTTAATAACAATTAACTTGACAATAACGCTTTTGAAAAGGTTCTTGAAATGCTAAAATGCTTCTTTTTGCAAATGAGTCAGCTACCCTACTATAAAGCCCTTCATAATCCTTGGTGTCACTTTATTTTTGGTTATGACGGGTAAGTCTAGCTGAGTACCTTCTCGTACTCAGGGTTTTATTTCCACTTGTTGCAGATGGGCAGATGTACTATGGCTACTGTATCAACTGCCTTTATCCTGCGATGGGTGATGCTTAGGACCATGGACATGGTCATTCCTTACGTCTCGTCTAATGCTTTTGTTGGAGATGATCATTCGCTGGCACTGTATTTGAACTCCGTGTGAGTGTGTGTGGTTTTAAACAAATGGCTTCCGCTACTTTTATTCGAACTTGTTTTGTAATAACTATGTTTAAACTCTGATGTATCTGTGATGCGAACTTTTATGTAATATGTGATGGTGACCGCTAAACTTATTACGATCATGGCTGGGACATGAGTTGGTTTGAAATCCTTCGTGATTTCACGGACTACCGGGTTATACGGGCTTAAGTTTGCTAAATCGTCTGCTCTGGCGGATGATTTTCTTGCTTAATTTCGTATAATTGGTCGGTTCTGTTACAGACCCCAGGATTAGAAGATCAGATGACATCCTTGGAATCATTTATAAATAATATGTCAGTGATTACCATACGGGAAATATGGAACAGAAGCAATGATACAATAATAGAAAATAACAGATAGATATTGCACAGATAAATATTGTATGCATTTATATTGGTCTAGCATCTGTGTAGCTGGGATTGTCCAGGCTTAAAACTGAGGACCTATGATGCACATGAAGCCATTAGGCACTATGTTCAACTGCAAAATAGATAGGGACTTGGAAAAATAGGAAGCCGCATTCATGTTCATATACATTTATTCTGCCTTTTTTGTCATCAACAGTAGAGCACTATTACTAATTTGAAGGTGAAATCCGCATCATTTGTAGAGTGCATAGAGAAGAGACAGCTTGCACATTTTTAGTGAATTGTTTGGTTGACTTAAGAAATTATGGATCAGAAAATCAAATAGATAAATTGATTGCAAATTTCTGAAGTGGTTGTAGCTTCCTGCAATACAACCCAAAGGAATTGAGCTGACCAAAAAAATCAAACCAACAAAGAAAAAAATGAGGTTTCATTTTCAGGTTACACCAACTCAATTTGGTACTCCCAGTCGTAAATATTTGTTCATATTTGTCCTTTGAGAAATTGAAACAGACTGGAAGGGCGGGCCTGGTGCAAGCGGTAGAGTCTTACTGCCTGTGACCGGAAGGTCACGGGTTCGAGTCGCGGTCTCCTCGCATTGCATAGGCGATGGTAAGACTTGCCACTAACACCCTTCCCCAGACCCCGCACAGACCGGGAGCTCTCTGCACTGGGTACGCCCTTTGTGATGCAAACAAAATGTGATAGCTAAATTATTCTAGACTCCTTTGTAGGAGGAGCATCTGTGATGCTGAATATAGTACTGCAGCCATCTCGAAGCATTTACTGTTTCTTTTTTTTTAGGATAT